CCCCCCCCCCCCCCGAGCTCTTCCCAGGCGCCTGCGGAAGCTGCTGTAAAATGTCGTGACGGACGTCGCCGCTTTGCGGCCGTCTCTGTGAGAAGCCGAGCCCCGGGAGTGCCCACCGCAGTTAGCGGTTCCTTGAGCGGAGTCCTGAGCGAGGGCGAAAGCACTCGGGCGCGCGCGCTCCTGGCCTGTCCGCCGCGCCCGCGAGGGCTCCGGGCGATGTGAACTCGAGGCGGCTGCTGTGCTCCCAGGCCTCGGGGAGGCAGGTGCCTGGGAGGCCGCCGGGGGGCCCGGCAGGATGGAGGAGAGCATGGAGGAGGAGGAGATGCTCAGCTACGAGGCGATGATGGACGACCAGAACCACAACTGGGAGGCCGCCGCGGACAACTTCCGGCAGCCTCCACCGCCACCGCCACCGCTACCGCCCTCGTCGTCCATCCAGGATCCCGGCCGAGAAGCCCCGGGGGGCCAGCTGCTGGCTATGCCCGTGGGTTCTGTGGACGGGAAGGACCCTAAGGAGGGGCTCCCGCTGGGGCCTCCGCCCTTGCCGGAGCCCAACGGGGTGATCATGATGTTGAAGAGCTGCGACACGGCTGCCGCGGTGACCAAGGCGGCCTCCGCCCCCACCCCCAGCTCCACCATCAACATCAACACCTCCACTTCCAAGTTCCGTGAGTCTGGCCTTTTCCCCGTAGCCTCGGCTGCTCCTCCACTTCGGCTCGCCGAATCCCCCCGCCCTGGGAGCAGCTCCACTTCCTTTGTTCCAGGCCTAGGTCTCTCTCTCCCCTCTTACCTCCCATCCTCGTTCGGTGTCTGCAGCCGGTGTCTGGCCGACCAGCCCGGGCTGCTCGTTTACCTTCGCCCGCAGCCCCAGATTATGCTTCAGACAAGATCTTTATTACGCCTGATCATCTCTCAACATTAGTAAGCTCTTTTTCTCACGCGTCCCCTTCAAAGTTTCGCCTTACAAGGCGAGGGGGGAAGAATAAGGCGGTCTTGAATTTCGTTAGCAAGAATTCTTTCTGGTAACCAGAAAGCAAAGACAGTTGACAGCTTGTGTTCTTGTATACTTAGCCGCTGTACTTTAAGCAAATCAGGAATCTGAACGTTGTCTTTTTAGGTTAGTACTTTGTTCTCTGCTTTGTGCATTTTTTTGCATCCTCCCACGAAACTCTGAGTTGTTTCTTTATGCAGCGGGAACTGCTGCAACTGTTTTGAAGCTGATGTATAAAAATTACGTTTCAGGGAAGCCATTCAAGTGACCATACCTAGGGCCCTGCCGCTTGTTGAGCTTTTTAGCGCTCTGCCTTAACATTCAGTTGCAGGCTGAAGACTAAAAGTAATTCGAAAACATTTACAGTCTGGTGGTGCGCTTCCACAGCTAGGGAAAGAACCAGAAAGTGTTGTTTTAACCCTGGGAGATGGTGTGGAAAAAGGAACGTGACCACTAGTGGTAGCCAGATCCTTGATAACTGCAAGTTTAAAATGGTAATGCAACTGGAGATTTCATTTATAGTTACCAATTTTATTAAGCTATAACAGTAATTGCCCACCTAATTATGAAGAGAAAATTATTTGTCCTGATGCTTATATGTAGTTACAACCTTAGAAAAAAAATTTTTTTATGGAAATAGCACACCGCCTTACATGCCTTCAAGATAACTGCTTTAGGCAAAGGCACTTGTGTAGGTGTGGATAGGAAGCTTTATTCCCTGTTATGCATAGACGGAACTATCATTTATTTAATATAGTTTTTATGTTGAAGGGTTGCGTTGTGAAAATAGACTTTATAGTGGCAGTGTGGTTTACCTTAAATGCTGAAGGAAGTTTGTATTAATGGTTAAGTAAACTTTCTTTGATGGGTTAAGAAATGAACATAAAGAACAGAAGTCATCAGCCAAGCTGAGAGCAAAAGAACTTGCCAAACCAAAAGATTATCCCTTGAAAAGATGAATAAATTTGGGGTGTTGGGGATGCAGCTGGGTTGATGAGTGCGTCCTGGAAGCCCTGAGTTTGATTCCAGTACCTTATAAAACTTAACATGGTGACTAACAATTACAATCCCAGCATTTTGGAGGTAGAGCCATGAGGATCAAGAATTTCATTTTCCTCAGCTGTACATGCTGTTCAAGGCCAGCTTGTGAAACATGAGATCTTGTTAGAAAACAAAAAGGTTAGTAAGCTATGCAGGCCTGTTAAAGATTGGTCCAGGGCAAAAATTGAAAATAAATGAAAAAATTAAAATAGAACATTACATTTTTAAAAAGCTACTATATGGTAATAAATTTGAGAAGGTAGATGAAGAAATCCATGATTGTTAGGGAACTATTAACTCAAAACAGTTATCAGTAGAAAACTTGGACTATGCTTAGACTTTTAGTAGTAGTGATGAGGGCTTTCCCTTCCAAGTCTCTTGGTTCAGTACTCAATAACCTTTCCTTTTTATAAGTTCTGGAACATAGGGCACAAAAGCAAGGCAAAGCCAAAACTCCCAAGGCCATTTTATGGGGATAGTGGAATCTTGATTCTAAAACTAGATAAGATTATGTATAGGTGTGGTTCACCTATTAGTGTAGAAATGAAATCCTGTATCCCATTAACTTGTCAGACCTAGCCAGGTCAAAAGAATCATGATTCACAGTTTGTTTCAGTTTTTTTCTAGTATCGATATATTAGTGTAATTTATCTCAGCAGATTGGAAAAACATGATTTGATCATTTCTTTTCATGCCAACCGGCCAGTACCAGGTTTTTTTAATGATAAAAACTTAGTAAGGTAAAGAGTGCAGGATAACTATATAAAGTCATTACCAGACCTGTAGCTAATAGAATAATGGAGAAAATTTCAATATATTCGTTATAAGATGGTAACCAGTCATAGATACCCCTTATTTCTATTACTGTTTAATATGTTAAGAAAAATCCTGGTTGCTGGCCTGATGGCTCACACCTTTAAACCTTCTCATGGGGATCTTATGAATTCCAGGTCAGCCAAGGTGATATAGTGTGAGACAAAAACAAACCCTTTAGAACTTGGCAGTATTATCTTTGAAACCTTGAGAAACTCAGTGTAATGGACTGTTAGGTTGAAGACCAGCCTGGAAAAGTTAATATTTATACTAGTAGCAATATACCAAAAATGGATGCCTATGTAACAGTCACAAAATTATGGTGTCTATATTTAAAGTAATGCAAGAATACACAGATTTTTAAGGAGAGACAGGGAAACTTTACTGAGGAACTAAGGTGGACTCCAGTTAAATGGCTCAAATTTCCATGCTCTTGAATCAAATTATTTTAAGAATTCCTTTTGTCTCCATTTTAATCTAGAAATTCAATTTAAATATCACCAACATTACGTTTGATTTGTTAGACAAACTCAGTAACCTAAACCAGATTTTTGTTTCTCTGGTGCTTCTGGACAGCACTGGCTGGTCTCCATGTTGTCTTGTCAGTCATAAAGTTTGTCCTGACAGAGTAGACAGTAGTTAGGCTTGCTGAGTCCCTTATTTACACGGTTTGGCGCTTTCCAGTGATTTCTGGTCTTTCTTACAGTTGTGTGAGACTGTTCAGATCTGCTGCTCATTTCTTGGGTTGTTTGTTTTGTTGTGTTTAAAGACACTCTTGTGAACTTTGCATGTTTGCCAGATAACCTGCACTCTGAATGTCCTCTCCCCTGACTTGTTTCTTTTAGTGTTTTCTGAAGAGTGGTAGTTTTAGTTTTGATGTTAACTGATTTTTTTTTTATCAGTTTTCTCTTCTATGGCCTAATTTTTTTTTTGTATCCTAATTATATTTATGTAATCCAGAGTCAGGAAGAGTTTCTCCTAGAAGGTTTGTGGGTTTAATTTCTAATCTGTGGTCTGAATTAGGAGTTGATATGTATGTGCAGTGTGAGATTGACATTTTTCCCCATATATATGTCCAGTTTTGTCAGCAATATTTGTTGAAAAATTACTCCTGCTGTTTTGGCAGTTTTGTAAGAAAGTAACTGACTGTATATGTATAGATTTCAGTTCTGTCCATTAATCCCCTTATGGTATATCATTTTCAGGACTGCTGTGTCCTGGACCATGGGTGTTTCATCATGATGGAATGAATGCCTGTCTTTATCCCTGTAGTGTCTGATATCTGAGATGTTCAGGTTCATTGTATGCTGTATCTTTTCCAGTTCATTTGTTTTTAAATTAAAGTGCATTTTTTTTTGGGTGCGTGTGTACAACACGTGCTGTAGGAATTCCTACTGCCAGTAGCTTTTAAGTTACCCGCCCACTTGGGCATGGCCTCTTTTACTAGTTAGGCCGATGTAAAGATTTATTTGTGGCAACCTCTGTCCGCCTGTGTTTTTCCTTCCTTTCTTTTTCCCTTTGCCTTTGCTCTCCTCTCCCCCTTCTGTTTTCATACTTTTATTTCCTTCTTGTTTTTTGAGACAGTTTTTCTTTGTAACCCTGACTGTCCTGAAATTTGTAGACCTTGAACTATCTGCCTGCCTGTGCCTTTGAGATTAAAGGCATGGACCTCCAGCCCCTAAACCTTATTGAAGGCTATTCACATTTACTGTAAGGTTGAAGTCCATTGTCTATTTTCTTTCTTTTACTTGTTTTTTAATCATTTGATTGTGTGTGTGTGTGTATACATTGTGGTTTTTGTTTGTTTGTTTTTGTGGCTTGCCTTAAACTTAATCTTCTAGCTGAGGATGGCCTTGAATTTCTTGCTGTCTCAGGAAAGGCATATCTAAGTGTTTTGCTCAGTTTTGATGAAATTTGTCTTCAGTTTGGTTTATCACTGACCTTTTTTGTTCTTTAGTGATCATTCTAAGAGTTGCACTGTGAAAATCTAATTTGAGTAAAGCATAGTCTTTTCATAGACTACCTCACATGTGTTAGAGTAAGTGTGGCCTTGTTAGAAGTGTGTCAGTGGCAAAAGCCTAGGCCAGACAAGCCTTTGTCTCTGCTGGTAGATGAGGCTGTAGCTTTCAACTAGTTCAAGTAGTTTCAATCCAAAGCCGTACCTGCAGCCATGCGCTCCACCATGGTGATAATGGGCTAAGCCCCTGAAACTGTAAGCAAGCCCCCATTAAATGCTTTCCTTTATAAGGACTGCTGGATCATGGTGTCACTTCACAGCAGTAGAACAAAGATTAAGACAACTGGGAAAGAAATCTTTTATATTATTCTTTGTGTTTCTCTTCTTTAGTTCTGGACTTCCATAAAAGCTTTTCCTTTTTTTATTTTATTATTATTATTATTGCTTTGTTTTGTTTTTTGAAGTAGGGTTTCTCTGTGTAGTCCTGGACACCCTGGAAATCGCTTTGTGTAGATCAGGCTAGCCTTGAACTCAAGAGATTCTCCTACCTTTGCCTCCTAAGTGCTGGGATTAACCACCGACTGGCTTGTTAATGTTTTTTTAGATGTGGTTCTGTTGACCTTGGACTTAGTCAGCTTTTGCTTGTCTGTTGAAGTCTTTGTTTTCTAAGAGTATTTTTTTTTAACTGGCTATAGAATTTTATATTATAACGCCTTTCCTCCCATTATTATTTTAAAAGCTGTCTTTCTATTTTCTCTCCACCTTCATTGTTTCTCTACAATTTTTATTCTTTGAGAATTTCATACATGCATTCAATGTATTTTTATCATTCACCTCATGCTTCTTCCTCCTAACTACTTCTCGAT